TATTAATATATAAGAAATTATATGTAAATAGAAGTGTATTCATATATAAAATACAATATAAATAATAATAATATAAAAGTAATAAAATATGATAAATATAATAATAAAGAGATAATATGATGATATTTGATACAATAATAGAAATAAATATAATAATAAAATATATAAATATATAAAATACATAAATAACATAATAATAACATAATAATAAAAATGTATACATATATTGAATCAAATATCATTTCTGAATTATTTATATTTCATAACAATTTACCATAAAATGATATAAAATATAAAGAAATATAATGAATATAGAATGTGTATTTAATTTATTTTTTATTTTTTTAGGAACAAAATAATAAAAACTATTATTTTATTGATTCAAAATATTTTGCCCTTTTCTTTTTGGGGTTTTTTATTTAGATGCATTATTTCTTTGCTTATTTTGGTTCCAGAAATGTAATATATTGATAAAATAAGATATTGAAAGTATTAGAGTATCAAATATATTACAGCGTATTACAAAATCAAGACCTATAAAATTATTATTAACACAAATACAAATCATCATCGTTTTGATGATATTGTTATTAATTGTTTTATAACTTCTATATATTTAGATAAATATACTTTTGTTGATTTTTTCACCTCATACATTGAAACATATTTCATTAACATTAAATACTATTTTATATTAAACGTCATTATAAAATGATGATAAGACAATACAAGTATTAATAATTTCATTACATTTAATGTTTATTTTATATTATCTGATTTTAATAATATAATATGTAAAATAATAAATGAAATAAATGATAACCAATTTATTTATTATTGATGTTAATTGGTTTATATTTAATAATTCATATTAATGAAATAATAATTTAGAGTTAACATATTTATTTAGTAATTCATTAAATATAAACCAATTTCTTTATTTATTTTTCATTTACAATGCTCGTTTATCTTATTCTCTTTTAATAATATTCAACATATTTCAATGTGTTATGTTAAATATTAATGATAATTAAATCCATATTTAATCATTCATCAATTTAAATAAACATATATTTAAACAGTCGTTACAACATTTAAATAACTTGTTAATGAATAAATAAATAAATAAATAGATTTCATTTATATTAAATGTAATAAAATTGAATGATAAAACCAAATTAATTTATTAAATGACTCTTTAGAACCAGAAGTTTTTTAGTTGGTAGATTTATGGAGTTGAGAAAGAATTAAAATTAATAATGATAAGACTTAATGAAAATGAAATATTTCATTATCATTCAAAACAACAAATAACAAAATAAAAGAATAACAATATAATAAATAAAAAAAAATAATATTATATTAATAAAAAAAAATAAAATAATTATAGTTTTTTTCACAATTCATTTTACTTCTATACTATATTTTACTTCTCAGACTGTAATATTCCAATAGTTTTTTAAGTTTTGAAGAAAGGGTGTTGTCTGAAATTTATTCTTAATTAATTAAAATATTCAACCCTTGTTTTATTTTATGACTTGTCTTGGTCAAACCAGTTTAAGATAATAATTTGAGTGAGTATTTCTTTTTTTTAAATAAAGAATTAAAAAATATTATGTAAGCTTCTTATCTACAACACATTAATAACTTAATTAATTGGATACACAATTCCTTCTAAATGTATAAACAAATAAACTAACGATGAGAGCTTTTAGTTTTAAAAGAAAAAAAAGAAAGAACAATAAGTTTATTATTAATCAATCAAATTTCTTCAAGGTGAGTTAATTCAACATAATTTGAAACAAATTCACTCACAATTTCTTCTTGTGTTAGAAGATAAACTAATCCATAAAAGAGAGCATTATTTCCATTTTTAATATGTTCTGTAATATGGAAATTATCAACTACCTCAAAAAATTCAGATAACTGGAATCCAATGAAAGGGTCATCTATATTTCCAAGTATTTGCAACACCCAAGAGGCAGGGACTTCATCACATCTAAAATGTCTTCGGTATTGAGAAATACCATCTAATAGAAAGAAGAAAGTTCGTGACCAAGTACTAATGATTTTTTGTTTTTTTACTATTCTTAAAGGAGGTTGGAATAAAATATTATAACTTCTTGGTGGGATAAAAGAATAAGTAATTGATGTATTTTCAGTTGGACTAAGAATTTCAGACATTAAAGAATGTGCTTTCTGAATAGGGACTCTTTCTGATGTTATTTTTATATATTGTTTAATAAATGTATGATAATTATCACCTACAAAAGGAGAATAATCTTCTTTAGGAGGAAGATTGTATTTACATTCACCAATTTCATTTAAAATAATAGTGTCCCAAATACAATTACATTTGTTTTGAAATTTATTAAGAATATTAAAATAATCAATGTCTTGTTTAGAAAAGTGCACAATATTTGGTTCCCATTCTAATTGTAAAACATTATTGAATCGACGTGCCATTCCTTTTTCAAGGAAAGGTGACATAATAAGAACTGATGAAAAATCAGTTTTATTAAATGACTTAAGACGTAGTGATATCTCTCCTGAACGAAGAATATTTTTTTCATCAATTTTACATATAAAAGTACCTCCATTAATAATTGGTAATAATCCTCTTTTTAGTCTTGTTTCAAGAATTTTCATAACATGACAAATAATGGGTAAATCACATTGAGTAAAATTAACATTATCACCAAAGAATCTATTGAAAATTTCATATACCCTTTTTTGATGCTCTTGGTTTATTGGAAGAAATTGAAGTGAAACATACCTTGAAGTAGAAGGTGTTTCTATTTGTGATACAAGATCCATAAGAATAGCATTAATTGAATCTTGAGATAATCCTAAACTAATTAAATTTTGAATACTGTAAGAATTTAAATATAATGGATAATGATTTGGATATAAAGTTGTTGATAATGTAATATCTCCATTTAATTGAGTTGGTACCCAGAATCTACCTTGAAGAAGATCATCAAAAGAATAAATAACTTTTTGTGGAAAAGGATGGTTATCATTAAAATGTTGAAGAGGAGCAAAATCAATAATTCCCATACCTTCATCTCTAAAATAAAATAATTCAGCAGATTCTTTAGGAATAAATGGTAATTTGTGAAATCCTAAATGAAGTAATTTTGTAGGTGTTTTAATATTAATTTCATGATATTGTTTTAATGAAGAATGATAATTAAAATTAATAATCCATGGTAATATACCTTTTACTTCTTCTTGAATATTTAAAGGAGTAGAAGGAAGAATTTGATTTATATTTATTTTTGATTTGGCAAATGTCGTCATTAATTCATATAATTGAGAGCATAGAGGAATATGACAAAACATTATAGTTCTAGTAAATAAAGTTAATGTAAATGAGTTGTTTGAATTTATAAATGATTCTAATCGAGTTACAGCATCTTCAGATACTAATTCAAGTTTATCATAATCATAAAGGTGTTGAACTGTTGAAGATTTAGCTTCATAAAAAGGTAAATAATTTTTATAATTCAAAGACAATGATGAATCCTTTTTATCAAAATGAAATAGTTTATTATTACTCTTATCATAAAATGTAATTATTACACAATTACATTTAGTTAAAACATGTGAAACAGCTCGTATTTCACATCCACATCTATTAGAACGAGTAAATATTGGTGAATGATATAGTGAAATAAAAATATTTTGACATGACCTTCCAATTCTTGCATCACTAATATAATTTATATTGGTTGTAGTAATAATAGCACTAGACGTTGATGAACAATTAAAAATAAAACCACGTTGTGACCCATTTGAATGAACTGATACCTGAGCATCTCTAAATGACATTAGTGTTTCTACGACATTACCTTCTTTTCTTCCAAATATGACTTTACCATGCTGACCAGTTTTAGAATGATAAATTTTAGTTTCAAGTAATTCTCCATCTTGTTCATTTGCTTCTAAAATTTGACTAAAAACATCAATACCTAATTCACTTTCAATATATTCAGTTGTCTTTGTAAAGTCTCCATGAAATATAAGTAAAAAATATTCTAATCCAGGATTATTATTGTGAAGTACTTGAATTGATCGAATTGCTTTTTTTATTAAATGATGACTAGACTCACTTTTAGTTTTATTTAAGAATTGATTGAGATAATCTATATTAATAGTATTTGAACAAATATGTCGAATAGTATATTCTTCTATGTCATTTCTTATATTTAATAAATCCAGAATAGCTTGTCTGTATTTATCTTGATTAATATTAAAGTTATCAACAAATAATCTAATTAACTTTTGTAATTGATCAAGTGGAACGTTTCTCCAATCAATGCCTTTCCATAATAGTAATATTATTCTTCTAAAGGATTGTTTAAGAAAATAAGGAAATAAAATGTGAAATATTCGTTTTACCTTCTCATCTTTAATAATCGTTTCAATATTTTCTTTTGTTTTTATATAAAATTTATTTTGAAATTCGGGGTTATTTAAGTTATCAATAAGTTGTTGTTTTTTCTTTGTGTCAATTTCTAATTCTAATATTTGTTGAATAAACTTTGAGTATTCTTCTTCCATTAAAAATTATTTTTCTATTTCTTTTTTTTTTTTTTTAAAGTTTCTTTATTTAAATTTATAATAAAAATACTAGAATCCTTTTTATTTAATTTTTTTATTTCTTTTGTTGTTCAAAAAATACCTTAAACAGTTCTTTAACATCTACTATGTTACTACTTAATATCAAATAAGAAATTACTTTTATAGATTTGATTTATATAAAATAAAACAAAGAACTTTTCTTTTAATATTTCAAATAAACATTAGTTTCTTTAGAAACAATTGAAAATATAATTGTATTATCAAAAAAATAATTGAATATAATTATTAATAAAAAAGGAGTATGTTTTGGATTTATTAATGGTATAGAATTAAAAAAAAAAAAAGAAAAATAGGGAATAATAAAAAAACCAAAAAGAAGATTGTTTTAATCGTTTTTTAATTAAAAAAAAATATGAATATTTAAAAGACGACTACCTAATTTTAAAATAAAAGAAAAATATACAGAAACACCATCTAAAAAATCTAATAATCAAAAGTTTATATAATGAGTCTCCAATATCAATACCCATATTTTAGTTTTATGTCATTAAATCCAGAAATACGTGAAAAACTTCCGTTAACTCAAATTGCATCAATTCATGAAGATTTATTGAATAGATCAACAATGAAAGGAACGATATTATTGAGAAATGGTTTGTTATTTAAGATGAAATATTTATAGACGTAGTGATTAATTTTTAATAGAAATAGTAAAACAAGGTTTTGAATATTATATTGTTATAACTACACCTTATTTACTCATTTTTGAGTCTGAATTAGTTTGTTATTATTTCTAAATGTATTACAATTAATGATTAAATTGTTATTTATTTCTTATAGAAATTAAATAAAATGGAATATTATGCTATTGTTAATTTATGTGATGCAATACTATCAAGAAGAGAATCTAAATTATCTGGATTTTGTTTTAAAATAGAAGCAACTAATAAAACAATGTGTTATAAATATGGGTTATGTGGGGAAAAGTTATCAAGATATCATGACAATATATTAGTCTTTAGAGATGAAAATATTTCTCGTGGTAAAGAGTGGTATAGTCAATTTGAAAATGCTTTTGTTTTGGCTTATACTAAATATAATAGTCCTTCTTCACATATTGAAAATAAAACTTCTATTCAAAGTCCAAAAATTGTAACCAATAATGTAACTGAACCAAATGTAAATCCTAATTCTTCAGAATCTATTACAATAAAAGAAACAAGTTCTTCTTCTGATATTGAAGATATTGTTGATGTAGATACATTACTAGATAAAAAATCTACATCTCATTATGTGTTAGCACAAAATAGTTTAAAAGAATTTTTTGATGCAAGTGAAGAAGGTAAATCAATTATTTGGGACTTATTAAAACAATTAAGACCAGGAATGGATCTCGGTAGAATCTCCTTTCCATCACATATCCTTGAACCACGTTCATTCTTAGTTAAAACAACAGATTATTTTGCTCATATTCAATACTTTAAACCAATAAGTGAAGAACCAGATCCTGGATTAAGAATGCTTGGTTTAGTTAAATGGTTATTAAGTGGATTCTATTTAATGCCGACTGGTATTAAAAAACCTTATAATCCAATTCTTAATGAAACATTTAGAACTATGTGGAAACATGAAGATGGAAGTAGATCTTATTTACTTGGAGAGCAAGTCAGTCATAGACCAACAATATCAGCTTTTTATGCAACAAATAGACAACAAGGATGGATGGGAAATGGATACATCGATTTTACTACTAAATTTAATGGATTGAGTGCTTCAATTATTCTTGGAGGTAAAATTGATATATATTTATTAAATTTTAATGAACATTATACTATGACATTCCCTGAGGCACTTGCCAGTGGATTTTTTGTTGGTCCAATGTTAATGGAAATTGCAGGAAAATCAGTATTTGAGTGTAAAGAAACTGGATATAAAGCAGAAGTAATTTTTAATGTAAAAGGAACATTTTCATCTGATAAGTATCAAACAGTAGATGCTAAAATAACTAAAAATGGGGAAGAAGTTTATAAAATATGGGGAAATTATTATAAAGAACTATTTTATTGTGGCAGAGATAAAGTAAAGAAAAGTTTATTAAAGATTGATGAGATTAGGGGAAAAAATGTACCAAGATATACTATTGATATGAACCAACAAGGAGAATGGGAAAGTGATAGACTTTGGAAAAATGTAACAGATGCAATTTATAAAGGAGACCAAATAACTGCTACTGAAGAAAAATGTAAGAATGAAGAAAAACAAAAAAATATGGAAAATGAATATCTATCAACTGGAACAGTTCATATCCCAAAATATTTTGTTAAAGACTCATTTCTTGGATGGAAATATATTGATTTCAATAATTCAAAATTTAATCCTGATAAAGAACTTGGAGATTATGAAGATAATTATCATATTAAAACATTGTTAAAAGAACAAAATGAATGTGTTGATGATGGAAACCAAATAAAAGAAGAACTCCTTACTTCATCCATTGAAACTAATAATAAACCAATAATAACAAATAAAGAATCAAACCAATTAATAGAATTGAAGAATGAACTTGAAACACTTAGAAATCAACTCCAGTGTTCAATTAACTCTATTCAATCGTCTACTCTTCAACAAATTCATAAACAAATTGAGCCATTACAAAGAAGACTATTAGTTGTGATTCTTATGAATCTTGTGTTGATAAGTATGCTCATTTATTTGCTTCTTCAGTAAATATTTTTGTTATATATATCATATTTTAATTTCAAAAGAAACAGAATATTATATGACGTAAACAGTAAATTGAGAAAAAAGAAGAATGAAAAAACTCTATTAATTTTTGAAATGAAAAATTAGAAAATTAAAACACTGAAAAGAAAAGAAAGTTTTGAAGGATAGTTATGAAAATTAGTTTTTGATAATAAAAATTATTAATTAATAAATAAAAAAATAAACATTAGCGGCAGAACATGAAAATCATGAATTGGAGGTGAAAACTAAAATTTATAAAGGATGGTCGATTGTTGTGTAAAATTCGATGAAAAAATATATCATGATATATGTTCTTCAAATCATTTTAAAGAATTTAGATATGTTATATTTAATATAAATGTAAAAGATTCATATTTACCTTCAAGAGATAAACCACCAAAAATGGTTGATATAATTAATATTTCTTCATCAGAATTTTCATTATTACCACGAAGAAAACAATTAAGTAGAATTACTATTGAAATGACAGCTACCCAACCTACAAAATCAATTGTTTGTTTTATATTTATTTTTATTTAAAACATTATACTCATTCTTTATAGAACTCAATTGGTAGTTCATTTGAATTAGTAGCAATTAAACCAATGTCAGATAAAGTATTTGTTGATGCATGTACTTCATTTCAAATTGACTTAATCACATTTAATTATTCAGAACAACTCTCGTTTAGATTTCATGTTCCTACATTAAGAACAGCAATGAATCGAGGATTATTTTTCGAAATAGATTTATCTCCATTACTTGAACAATCTGATCAAAAGCAAAAACAAAGTTTTATTTTAAATGCTACTGATCTTATTACAGCTACAAAAGGAAAAAGTATTATTTTATCAAGTGGTGCAACAACAATAAATGGATTTAAAGGTACAAAAGATCTTATTGCTATGGGAATAATGTTAGGACTAACTACATCACAAGCATATGATGCTGTTTATGTTAATCCAATGAAATGTATTACAAGATCACGTAGAAGATTTCCTATTAATGCGATGATAGCAATAGAGTAAAGAGAAAATAAAACACCAATTAAAATAATGTTGTTATCTTATCTTAATGTTCTTTAAAATTAATTCATTTTTAATATTATAACAGTTCAATAATATTTAATTTTTTTAATGTTTTTAATAATTATTAATAAACTATTAAAAATTAATTTTTAAGAAATTCATCTACTTAAATAAAAAAATTCTCTTTTCTGTTTATTTAATCCGCTTATTGAACATTTAAAACAATAGCAGTTAAGATATTGGCAGCCTCTTCTTTATGTTGGTTAAACTCAGTTTCAATGACTTGAATTTTCTTTTGTGTTTCTTCTTTAAGAGTCTGGGTTTGGGCGTCTAAATCTGTGTTATGAGTAGCAAGATATTTTTGAAATTCTTCATCTTTTTCTTTCTTCATTTCAGCAACTTTTGCTTTAGCCTCTTCTCTTGCTTGTGCTATTTTTTGAACCTTTTCAGCTTTTGCTTTTTCTACAACTTGTTTAGCGTTTTCTTCTGCTTCCATAAGCATTTTTAATCCTGCTTTATTGTCGTCTCCAACTTTAGCCATCTTCTTTTTATTTTTTAAGATTTTCTTTCTTTTTTAAATTCTCTAAGTTAATTTGTTTGTTTTTTCTCTTTGTTTTTGTATAGTTTCATTATTCATTTCCTTAATTGCATTCTTTTAAACCAATACCATAACAAAACAAAAAAAGTAAAAAAATATGTTTTTTCTTGTGTTGATTTTTGTAATTAAACAATTATGGAGTCATCATTATTAGACTGTTGTTCACAAACTTGTCCTTCTTCTTTACACGCTATAGATTCTTGGGTTTCTGTTCTTTCATTTGGCTCATCAGCACATTCACTTCCTCCATCTTCTGGATCATCTTTAACAATATAATCAATATCAAATACATTAGACGTCGCTGAAACCCATTCATTCATAGCAGCTTCAAGTAATAATTTTTGTTTTTCTATTGCCTCTGAGCCAATAGCAAATTTATTTTGACAGTTAGTATATCTCTTAAACTTATTGTCATCAAATGGAATAATACGTGTATCTACACTTTTATAGAAGTCATCTTCTCCAATTGAAGTTGGTAATATAAATAATGATTGATTCATATATTGGTCAGTACATGGAATATTCATATCAAC